GCTCTTTGCTAAGAGCAGCCAACTCCTCCGCCCTCCTTACTGATCATAGACGCACAGGATTGTAAGGGACCTTGAGAGGTCATCTAGTCCAGTCCCCTGCACTCATGGCAGGACTAAGTATTATCTAGAGCTTCCCTGACAGGTGTTGTCCAACCTGCTCTTAAAAATCTCCAATGACGGAGATTCCACAACCTCCCTGGGCAATTTATTCCAGTGCTTAACCACCCTGACAGTTAGGAAGTTTTTCCTAATGTCCAACCTAAACCGCCCTTGATGCAATTTAAGCCCATTGCTTCTTGTCCTATCCTCAGAGGTTAAGAAGAACAATTCTTCTCCCTCCTCCTTGTAAAAAACCTGTTATGTACTTGAAAACTGTTATGTCCCCTCTCAGTCTTCTCTTTCCCAGACTAAACAAACCCATTTTTTAAAATCTTTCCTCATAGGTCATGTTTTCTAGACCTTTAATCATTTTTGTTGCTCTTCTCTGGACTTTCTCCAATTTGTCCACATCTTTCCTGAAATGTGGTGCCCAGAACTGGACACAATACTCCAGATGTGGCCTAATCAGCGCAGAGTAGAGGGGGAGAATTACTTCTCATGTCTTGCTTACAACACTCCTGCTAATACAGCCCAGAATGATGTTTGCTTTTTTTGCAATAGTGTTACACTGTTGACTCATATTTAGCTTGTGATCCACTATGACCCCCAGATCCCTTTCCGCAGTACTCCTTCCTAGGCAGTCATTTCCCGTTTTGTCTGTGTGCAACTGATTGTTCCTTCCTAAGTGGAGTACTTTGCATTTGTCCTTATTGAATTTAATTCTATTTACTTCAGACCATTTTCCCAGTTTTCCCAGATAATTTTGAATTATAATCCTACCCCCCAAAGCACTTGCAACCCCTCCCAGCTTGGTATCATCTGCAAACCTTATAAGTGTACTCTCTATGCCATTATCTAAATCATTGATGAAGACAGTGAACAGAACTGGACCCAGACCTGATCCCTGATGTGCAGCCTTTGGGGGTTTCCTTTTGTTTACTGCCTTCCACTCCTTGGCCACTGCTGCCGGGGAACCACGCTTGATTTGGGGGGACAGATCATTCTCTACAACTGAGCAGTGTCCAGGGAGGCTTCGCTGAAGCTGTCCCCGCTTCTCAGCTTCCTCCTGATAGAACTCTCCTCTCCCTCTGGCCTCCCTCCTAAGACCTGTGCTTGGCCGTGCTTACATCTGACCGGTGTTCAGGAGATCTCCCCTGCACCAATACTCTTCCTGCAGATGCCCTTCCATGCCCACACCATCGGCATTGCCAGTGCATGCCAGCACCCACTTCCCCACCAGCTGATCAGCTTAAGCCATCCTCCACTTGCAGGGTCACTGTTTCTCAACAGGCTCTCCCTGCTTTGTCCCTCCTGTTACTGCCGCTCAGCTTGCTCCCTGTTCTCCCCCAGCCTCAAAGTTATTAGTATTTTCATCTGGCCAGGGCTTGTGTTATTCTCAGTGGGGTGCGAAGGAGCCCTGCACCTCTGGCCGGTTTGCACTGCCCCCCTCACCACGCTTTAATCAACCGTACACCTTTAGCACGATGCTGCTAGGGAACTATCTGTCTGCCTTAATTCTTTGCTGGTGCTCTTCCCCAGAGACCCGAGACTCCTATTTCCATCCAATACACCGTTTCGAGGCTTGCCTGGGAGAAGGTCCGGGGCATTTACTGGGTTATGAGATCATTTGCCCATGCAGCTGAGGGCTCGGTGCTGAAGCATGAAAGCATGGCCCATGGCTGCCCCAGACTCTTTCATCTCGACAGCGCGCATCTCTTGGGTGTCACAGCAGATCTGTTCACTGTGGAATCTCCATGTGGGCTGAGAGCTGATTGCTCAGATACAGATAGGCTACGTCAGCTAGCCTGAAGCCTTGTGACATCCGTGGCAGTGGGCACAGGTTCAAGGGACAACCCTTGGTGGTGCTGGCTGGTTTATCCAAACCCAAAGGCGTTGCGGTTTTTGCCACTTCTCTACAAATCGCACCAAATCTCCTTCAGAGCACAGGGGGGGAAGTTTTGCGAGAAGACCTTAGATCTCACGTGAGAGTCAGTGGTTTCTTCATGCAGCAACCCGCACAGGGCGGCAAGCCTTGGTTTTGAGAGGGTAGGTTAAGCCAGGTTTGGTTTTCGAACATCGAACACGGGGAATGCTGGGGACAGCTTGGGATGGCCGTTGCCTTCTCCCCTTCCACAGCTGCCAGGACAGGTTGCTTCCCAGTAGTTATCCTGCAAAGAGTTCCACGGCTTAGTCAAGCCACAGCCACTTGGTCAAAATCCAAGTATCTGTCCGCCTCCCATTGCGCTTCGCAATTCAGACATGGAGATAGGGATTCCATTCACACAGCAGTAGAAGGGAGCAGCACAAGTCAAACCATTCGGTGTAAACAGTATGATGTGGTGTGAGAGATGCAGCATCCACCAAGGAACAGCTTGGATTTGCAGAGAAGGAAGAATTGCACATTACACTGTCTACCCAGGCTGATGCTGGCACTTCCGATGCCTGAAAAGCTGCCGCCTCCACAACCTCTGCTGTTGGCACAGAAGCGCACTTAGAATCTTCTGCAATACACTAAGATGAAGGAAGACAGCCAGCCTCAGCCCTCCACCCCTCTCTGCAAGAGAGGAACTCCCGGTGAAAACGAACACTACCCATTGTTTTGTTTTAACAACACCAGAGTGTTCAAGGGGATTCTAGGTCAGTGAGGGCGAAGCAACAGGACAAGGGAGCACGGGACAAAGAACCACCAAAACACAAAGAAAGGGGGGATTAGCCTCATGGAGTTAAACAAAAGAGAATGGAGAAGGCATGCATGCCTGAGTTTATAGGGACAGTCAGTTCGTGATGAATCAACTGCAAGATATTGCTGAAGATCTCTTCATGGCAAAGACGACTCTACAGTCCCACCAAGGTCAGTGACACTGAGGGAGCTGTGCTGGTGACAACGAGATGAGTGGGAGCTGTATGTGGTCTTACTTCTTCTAAAATTCCCAGAAATTTGAGATGGGAGAATACAAATCCTGGTCCAGGGAAATCTGGCCGAGACATGAAATTCATACTTAAATGATTTCGTAGAGGCCTGTGGAATGAGAGGTCACACCAGTACTATAGGTCATGGGATGGACTCTACATGTGAGAATATCGATAATGCGCAACTGTAATGAGCGTGAAGTCTCCTGCCCACTCTCAGTTGAATTACTGGTGATTGCAAGATACAGAGGCTTTACGTGTATTTGTAATTGGGCCTGATGGAAAGAAGTTTCCAAAGCACACTCACAAAATTATTCACACACATAGGTGCAAAGGAGGTATTTGTGCAGCCGTTTGGGAGTAGAAATAGAATCACAGAAAATAGAAATGAAGGGCTGGAAGGGACCTCAACAGGTCATCTAGTCAAAAACATAAAACCTGTGTTGAAGCTCACATGAAAAGTTTTACTGTTGCAAAGAGATGTCCTTGCAAATTTTACGGGGTCCATTTTCAGAGGACCTTTGAAAACTGGCCCTTGTGTGTCCTTCCTCTGCAATTATCAAAACAAATGCGTAATACAGCTTGGCACTTGTAAGACTTAGTTGTTAACAAGACAAGATTTGTAAACTGTATTCATACAAGAATACCATTCACATCCATTCTGTTGCCAGAAAAGCAGTCAATGTTACAGGTTGACGTTTAGTGGGAGGAGCAGTGTTTTAGCTCTGTGATGTTTCTTAGAAATGAAATGTGGTTTCAGAGGCTTGGCGCACTGTGCTGAGAATTTATACCCTCATGCCATTATTTTCCTATCCTCTCTTCTTTCAGAAGCAATATGGGACTGTTCAAGTTTCATATGATATTGCTTCTTGAAATGTGCAGCTCCCCAGCTGCTAAGGGTAGGGTTTGAAACACATATGTGATAACCCTTCTTTTGACTTAGAAAGTCAGACAAATAGTGCAATCCCCTCCTCCCTGCAAATGCTGCTCAGAAGAGTAGCTCCAACACCTAACGTGTAGAAGGGTGGAATGTTGTTGCTGAGGCATGCTGTCAAGGCTCCTAAGCTGTTACAACTGCTCAGTGCTTCTGTCCTTGGAGCTCCGGTGTTATTAGCACTAGCAGAGACCGCAGCCTGCTAGCTCAGCAGACCTCAATGTTACTCAGAGAAAGACCACAGGCACAGTTTGGTGACAAAGGCACTGGGCCAGGTTTATTGCCCTCAATGCACAGTCCTAATGACTCACACAACTTGCACAAGTACATTAACACGAGTGCCCTGTGGCAAGGAGCGGCTCAGTCAGCAGTGGGAGTTTCTGCTGTCCCCTCGGCCACACAAAGGATTAAGGCGAGGTACCCCGACATTTATAGACTGAGACAAACAAGTTACGTGCCACTATATGCTTTTCATGTCATCTGTTTGTTACCTCCCCTTGTACCTTGTTCCTGATATTTTGGACAAAACATTGCAAATCATTATTCTGTCAAACTATCTTACCTTGTACTAGATTGGGGTGTATTTGTACTAGCCTTCTGTAATGTATTTACATAACTATCTAGTGCCTAGTACTTCTTAGGAGTGCCTATGTTTTAGCAACACTAGCAGCAACTTTGCCAAGTTCACGTTCCGGACAGTCAACTTGTAAGCATCTGCTTTAATACATGGCCTGACTTTGGTTCACAGCCTCTAGTTCAGGCCTCAGGTCTTGCACCAGGCCCAGTGCTCCAGGCTCTTCCTTTCTACTTCAATATGGTGTTTGAATATCTTTTAACTTTATTACAGCAAGGTAATCCAGTGTTATCAGCTATTTACGTTAAGCTTGGTGTGTACGTAGCAAGCTGTTTGCTTATTTTTTGAGCTCTTACAGTGTTAAAATAGCATTAAAAAAAAAGGGTTATTCCCCAAATAATCTATTAGAAGACCTGAATGAGTTTATAGTAAAAAATAGGAAACCAACCAAAAAACCAAAAGAAACAGATTTTCTCTACTCACAGTAAATGACAAAAAAGAAGAAAACAATGTCCCTTCATCGTATCTGGACAGTTTGGCCAGGACTCCTTCCAGAATGGTGACAAACTATTGAAAAGGAAAATATTTCAGTCACTTTTAAACATAGAGGGAGAGATTCTGATCTGATTTATAATGGGTTAAATCAGGATTAATGCCAACAAAAGCAAGGTTTACAATGATGTAAGTGAGAGCAGGACCAAGCTCAGATTGTCTATAACTGATAACCTGTGCTCTAAATTCAGGACTATGTCTTGCATAGCATTTATGCAGGGAATGAATGTCAAAAACTTTTTTGGCACTACGCAGCTTACCTCTAATGATATAAATCACCTGGGTGATATTGGTTACCTTGTCTCCTTTCTGGGTAATGTTGGAGAGCTTGTGCTCCCTCTAGTGGGAGCCAATGAACACCCACTCCTAAGAGGGGAGGTCAGATGGCTCATGGTCCCAGTGAGAGGGTTCAAGGAGGTGCCATGTGGTCTGTCTTGCAGGAGACTCAGACTGGCATATGTTGGGAGACTATGTTTAAAGATCTTCACACTGAGTAACAGTGATGGCTGACATCTGGTTTGCAATATTGTTCTCAGTTTGAAACTAGAGAACAAGCAGTTTGGACATGTACCCTACCTATCTATGTATCTGTCCTAGTACTTATCACCACGTTATTTCAGAGCTGAGAGATGAGCACATCTAAATTTAAACATCTGACATATCAGACCACTCGCATTAAAAATCAATTTCCATACAAGTGAACATGATATTTTGGAATGTGTTTCTTGGTACCATAATGCCATAGACTGCCCCAACCAAGATCAGAACTCTGCTAGATGCTCCATATGCACATAGTGTCCCAAACTGCTCATGACCTAAATAGACATTTTGGAATGTTTCTTGGTACCACAATGTCATGGATCAACTTGTTAAATGAGGCTCAACCTAGCCCCTACAAAAAAGAATACAATTTTATGAGCACAACTTTTTGCGTGCATTTGGTGTGTCAGTGGGACAGATGTCTTCATGGTCTATGCAGAGGGAAATCCTTCTCTCAGTATGTAATAGTGCCCCCTAGCGAGTGCAGTTTGTGTGCGTGACTGTGGGTGTCTGTGAACACAAGATGGTGGACACAAATCCATAGATGCTTCCTTAAAACTGTATTTTTTTGGCCCCATTTTTCAATCCTGCTCAACGGCGTATTGTATCCCAGGCAACTCCCAATCATCAGAGAGTCATGATGAAAGGAATGAGTGATGCATGAGCTTTCCCGCGAGAAACAACAAGCCAATTCAACTTCTTAATGTGTCACATTTTAATGGAAATGCACATATAAAAAAAAGTGATGTTAACAGTGAATCATTTCACCTGAAGCCAAAGGTTACCTTTGCCACTAAGAGTGTTATCATTTCTTTGACGGTTTCTTCAATTAGTTCATCTATTTTTGAATGGTACTGGTGCTAAGAAAAAAAAAAAAAGAGAAAAGGCAGAGGTAAATATTAGCATTGATCAAGTGATGGCACTGTGTTTGTTAGGCTCTTCCCTTGGTAAACAGAATTTGTAAAAGTATCAAAAAAAGAAACAAGCAGTTTATTACCCTCTGCTCCACTGATGTGGATAGTAATTACTTACATTTATACACGATTTTTAATTCAGGAAAATCTGATCGCACTTTCAAAGCACGAGCAAACCTCTGAAATATGCACGCAGCTCCACTTACACCAATAGGAGCCAGTGCATAATTTGGTGCCGGGACTCAAGCAATTTTTTTATATTCATAACTGATGCAGCAAGCCCAGAGGTGCCGGGGGGCTCTGAACTGCCAGGCCCGGAGGTGCTGGGGGGCTCTGAACTGCCAGGCCCGGAGGTGCCGGGGCTCTGAACTGTCAGGCCCGGAGGTGCTGGGGCTCTGAACTGCCAGGCCCGGAGGTGCTGGGGGGCTATGAACTGTCAGGCCCGGAGGTGCCGGGGCTCTGAACCGCCAGGCCCGGAGGTCCCAGGGCTCTGAACTGCCAGGCCCGGAGGTGCCGGGGCTCTGAACTGCCAGGCCCAGAGGTGCTGGGGGGCTATGAACTGCCAGGCCCGGAGGCGCCAGGCTCTGAACTGCTGATCCCGGAGGTGCCGGGCTCTGAACTGCCAGGCCCGGAGGTGCCGGGGCTCTGAACTGCCAGGCCCGGAGGTGCCGGGGCTCTGAACTGCTGATCCCGGAGGTGCCGGGCTCTGAACTGCCAAGCCCGGAGGTGCTGGGAGGCTATGAACTGCCCGGCCCAGAGGTGCCGGGGTTCGGACCTGGCACAGATTAAGCACTACTAGGAGCTAAATGTATGTGTCTGAGGGGGGGACTTTGGCCCTTATATCCCATGTGTACAAATATAATAGTTGCTGCTTCTAGGGCTTTCTACAGTGTTGTACCAATGTTAACTAATTCACTTTATAAAGGAACAATTTAACTGCCTATTGAAACGCAGCCACCACTGGGATAGAATGTGGCAATTTTCCCAGGGCACAGCCACGCCCCGTGGGAGCTTCGGCAAGGCAGCGATGGCCTTCTGCGGAAGGAACGGTAAGGGTGACATTTTAAAGAAAAGAGGCTGTAACTGGAATATCCAGAACCGTTGGAGGAACGCCGCTGCACTTGCAGAAAGTGCTATAGAATCTGTTAGGCTCCGTTTCAGCAAAGCACTTTGGGTAGGGCCATACTGCCTCTGGGACTGAGTTCCCAGCCTGGGTCCAGAGACGTGTGCTAGCGGGGTTCTGAGTTAGCACGCTCAGAATAGCTGTGTAGATGTTGCTTTGACATTGCAGCGCAGGCTGGAGCTTGGGCTCTGAAGCCAGGGTGTCTAAGCCAGGGTGACACCTTAGGGTGTCTAAACAGCTATTTTTAGTGCACTAGGGCAAGCCCTGCTAGTGCAAATCAGCAGTGCAAATCATTCCCCGATGCAGTGGACACAGACCCTTTAGCATGTGTTCAGGTTCAGTGGCACAGAAGCAAGTGCTTAACGTTAAGCACTTATTTAAATGCTTGTTGTATTGATGCCTTTATGATCATAACATAATCAAGATCTGTGTTTCGTCTCATGCACCTCCACCAGCATTCTGCTAGTGCCATTCTGGCCCACTGGTTCAGCATTGGTGCACTGGAAAGAGCGCCACCTACTGACTGACGAGCACCAGTCCTTGCAGCATCTAGGTTTTTCCACGGCACCTCCCGTCCAATACCAACCAGACCAAACCTCACTTAGCTTTTGAGCTCTGATATAACCACAGTTCAATGTGGTCTGGCTATAATAGGTACAAAACATTTTTTGGCTAATGTAGAAAAACTTCAGTTAGAGGATTTAATTATCAAAAACCTACATATTCTTATTTTCAATGAATTGAAAAATATATATTTTCCAACATAAAACATTTGATTTTTAAATAGGAAATTTAAAGTCGTGATCTTAGTCCCTATATGCATTGCCACTTGTTTGCATTAATATTGTTTTAAAATATTAACATCAAATTACATTGAAAGAGACAAATCTGCTATAAACACTAATCATGCTTTGGGGAAACAAAGGCTATGAGGGCAATTCAAAGTGTTGGACACTGGTCCCTCAACATTTACTAGGTAGTTTCTATCATTTTGAACTGCTCTATATTTTCTTTTGCAATAAAACAATAACATATGATTACAGGAACTTGGAAAAAATTAAAAAAATGTAGGACACACTTACCCACTCTTTAGCAAACTTTCAGATGATTGGGGACAGAAATTAAGAGGAAGGTGCAGAAGACAGGAAAAAGAACACATGAAGATAAATAATAAATAACATAAAATTTTCAAAAAACGGGGGACCTAATTCAATGGGGCCATGAAAAAAGCAGCAGCTTGCACAGAAAAATGAAACGTGAATAAAAACTCGTTTAACTGAAATACCAGAGAATACCTGTAATCTTTATAGGAGGTAAAAGCGGGACGGGGGGGGGGGGGGGGGGGGGGGGGGGAGAGGAGGGGAAATGATCTCACACAGAACACATACTGTACGTCTCCGCTGAGAAAGCACAAGGACTTGTTTTCATTGCACTTGGAAGCCGGACAGCAACAATAAGTACAATTTTACAGCTGAGTTTCAAGGTAGGTGGACTGGAGTCGAGATGATCAGTCTTGGCACTGGACTAGGACAGGTGTGTCAAGTGGTGCAGCCTCTGACCTCCAAAATCTAGCACCCCTCACAAGCCAGATTAAGAAGTAATGGAGTGAGCATTTGGCTGAACCTTGTGGACAGACCAAGTAAAGATGAGAGCCCCCAAATACCAGGGTGGGGCTTGCCCACTTCCATATGTGCCATTTAGTGGCTGGGGCAATTTAGTGGCAAAAAACTATTTTTGTATAAACAAACATTTGCCTCCCGAAGAATTTTTGTTTCAATGTCCTGCTTTGTGGGTCCAAAATCTGTATCAATGCCTTATAGTAACCATAGTTACATGACAAATATTCTTATGTATGTAGCTACATTTCATTTACTCATCAGAACCTATTTGGCAGTACTTTAAAATCTGGAGATCTCACATCAATCAGGAAAGGCAGCTGCAACTGTGGAGCTCAGGGGCGCACCCAGAGGAGCTGGGTTGAATCCAGAGGGTGCATCCCCCACCTTGGGCCAGGACCTGTATGAAGAGATGGTGAATAGGAACGGAATTCGGCATGTATCTGGAGAGGTGGAGTTTTCTCCATGTTCTCCTCCCGCTGACTGCATCTTCTATCAGTTGGGAAGTCCCGGAAACAGAGCAGAAGGCACCTGTGGAATGTGACAACTCCCGCATGGGTGGGGAAGGCTCCACCCACATCTGGGAGAGAGACTGGCCAGGTGCCATGTGGAGTGGAGAAAGCAGCGAGAGGACGATGAAGCTGGGAAGAGCAGCTGAGGGTCTGATGGAACACGGCAGTGGTGTGAGTCGGGATGGTGCAGGCAGAATAGGAGGTGGCTGAAAGGGAGTCTGACCGGGTGCTGGTGCTCGAGGTTGGGGGAAGGGAAGGTGGTGAGAGGATGGTGAATTAAAACCACAGTCAGCAGTAGTGTCTGCTTGCACCTGCCTGTTACATCTATAGGCTGGCAAGGGGGCGTCTGACCTAGCCCCCACTGACCTGTCCCAAACATCTCCCAAGTTTGACAGCCATTTGAGAGACAGAATGCAGTGTGCATCAGATCTCGTCTGAGCAGGGGTTAGCGGCTGTCTGGCAGAAGTGCTTCCAGTAGTAAGCAATGGCAGTATGAGCCATAAGCAGAATCTGAGAAGTTCTTCCCAGGCTTGCTGGAGGCGGAGGTGCCATCTCCCTTGTTTGTTATCTTCAGAATTACTATTACTGCTCCGTTTCATTTTGGGGGGTGGAGACTTGTAAGTTTCTCCATCTCTTTCCTGCGGGAACATACGCTCTCCTTTCCGCTGCAACTTCTCCATGCGGGATCTCTGTATCTGCAGTAGCCACTACCATGTTTGCAGATATTTACTCAGGGTGGCGGATGGCTGGTGGGATGCAGGCAGCGCTGCCGGGGAGTGGCATGCCAGTGAATGAAAGACATGTTGCAGGTAGTGTCTTCAGCACACCCTAGTGGAAGCAACTTGGAGGTCGTAACCCTTTTGAGTATTCACGTGCTACCAAGTAAGTGCAGAACAATGAAGCTTGCATCAAATGCTATAGTCACTTATAGAGCTATGTAATTTGGGCCCCATTTTGGAAAGCATGTGCACTAATTTATGAGCGTGATTATGTGCACACCTAACTCAACTCCAGTGTGTGCACAGAGAGTGGGATTACATGGGAAAATGCAAAGCAGGACTGGTCATGTGGGTGCTGGAGCTCACCAACGGACAAGCCGGGTGTGCACAGAAGTGCACATGGGCTTTTGAAGACATGGCCCATTGTAAATGGTGACGGGCTGAGTTTAAATCAAAGTTCCATCCACTCAATTTTAGGTCTTGCATATTAGCCCCAAAGACATGCTTCATTTGCCTCATTAGCATATTATTTTAATGAAGGAGTTTTGTTTGCTGGAGGTGGGGGTGAAGTTTGTTGCTGTTCATTGTCATGGGATAAATCATGGGTTTTAACTAAAAGAATGGCTAGGTGTGTGTAAAAAAATACAGTGTGAAAAGTACTGGCAAATAGATTTTCAATTAAAAGCTTGTTTACAAAGCAAATAAGAACTGCATGGAGAGCACTAACATGGAGCCCGAGAAGGTGAAAGATTTTCAAAGAGGGGCCCTATACAGCAAACCATCCATCGCAGCTGCTGTCAGGAAGGGTCGTGGCCTCCCCCAGCTGCTGTCCAGTGGTGGAGACTGCTCCTCATTCTGAACATAGGAGGCCAAATTCAGAGCTAGCATAAGTAAGTGGAATTCCACTGGAGCCAAACCTTAACACCAGGTCGGTATTTGGCCCGTTAGGTTTTTAGGCCAAACTCAAACTGTTTATCAACCCCCTGGCCACAGCAGCCCCAATCCTGGGCCCTACCAGCTCTGCACATCCCAGCTCAGCTCAGGAGAGGGGAATGCTTTAAGCCACCTTTGTCCTCCATTGCTTCTGGGGATGCCAGACTCCTGGCTGGTCTCCTGCTGTAAGATTGCCAGCGCCCCCAAGCGGGCACGATGGCAGCTGGGGGGCACAAAAAGGCTTTGGCCATGTGTCATCTTTCTCCTGGCCATGCTGCCTAAGCTGGCTGCAGGGAAGGGTGTATAAGAAGCTCTAAGACAGATGATCCCTGCCTCTGGTGTTCGTCCCATGGCAGGCAAGGTTGGATTTAGGGCAGCTTAGTGCTGGTCGTGCCGCATGCAGTGTCTGCGGCCCAGTCCAGGTTTGGGGCTTCTGAAATACAAAGCATTTCTGAGACACCTGGCAAAAATGATTGGGAAATGTCACCTGCTTCATTTTTTGCATGTACTATATTGGCATACCTCTACTGCCAAAGCTCCTGCATTACTGGCTTTCCCTACTTGAGAGTCAATCCTGAAACTGCAGATGGAAATCCATTTGACCCTCCCCTTGTAATAATTATCCAACTAGGAAAAGGTTGTGTTCTGGATCTGGCACAAAAGGATTTCTAAGAAAATGCTTCTTTTGCAGAAGTCTGTTTCATACTCTACAGATCCTGATATTTCTTATGAGAATGCATCTGGTTTGAGGTTAAATAATTGATCTTTTTCATTCAATTTAACAAAAACTTTTGAGAGCGTTAATCACAATTCGCTATTAGATAAATGAATAAAATCCACAATCCCTATACTAAAATTACTCCACTTGACTTCACGTGATGCATATTTTGCCTTGTCATGTAACAGATTGTGTGTATGCTGTATTTCTGTTAGGACCATCTGACCTTGGGTATTAAATAAAAACATACTAGACCAACTGAGAAACATTTAATACATAAATTTATACCCATTGATGTATTAAAAATTCAGAGGAAAAATAAATATTTAAGATGGTAAAGTATGTTTACCAAATGTTTTAACAGCTGCCTTTAGATATAAGGACATGGAAATGAGACGATGGGTATGTTTTCAATACAGTAATACTTTTAAAATGCATCAAACAATTCATACGTCTGTAAGATAGTTTTAAAAGAAAGGGCTTGTAGGTAAAAGTTAGGTCAAAACATAGCTCAAAAGAGTTGGTCTGTCCTAGTGTGTGGCTTTCACTGTGATAAAAATTGATGGTATGTTTCCAAGCAGTGTCTACTTTGACTAGAGCTGGGAAAACTATGACATTTGAACAATTGATTTGACAATTTTACCCCTTTTTTTGTTCATGAAAAACCTGCCAATAGATCACAATTTGTATGAACTTGTTTGCTAGTTGTTGTTGGGTGAACATTGAACCTAAAGATTATTCATGAGCTGTTCATGGACAGAAATTCACCTCTGTACAGGAGTTCAGCACAAAACCTTTGAACCACTTAAAGCCCTATTTTTAAGGAGTTAAGAAAGACTTACGTGATGCAGAAATCTTATATGGCCATGTGCATTGGGGTGAACTTCACCCACAGTGAGTTATAACAGGGTGTGAGGAGGCCAAATTGATATCTGGTTTCTGATTTGGGGGTTACATGCTTTTAGTCTATTTGACGACAGTCTCTAAGTTTAGCTTAGAATTGGAATGGAATAGCTGGAGTAGCATTTCTGGACACAACAATTACAAACACACACTCTCTCTTTCTCATATTTTAATCTTTATCAACCTTTTCATCCTCCAAATATAAATGGTTCAACCCAGAGGTTCACACAACTTCAAGAGGAGGGGAGGTAGCTCCCAAAATGGAGTGGTGTGAGCAGAGAAAGTCAGGATGAGGGTAGGAACATTCATTAAAAAGAAGCAAAGCTCAAGAAGGGTGTATGAGTACTGCAGTCCTAAACAGTAACGTATGCACTGATAATTTACATCTGATTTACAGGTCTATTAGTGCAGCTATTTGTTAAAAACATCCTAGCACAGCAACTGCTGTTTCACACCATCGTTATGTTATCTCCAAGCTACTATACCAAATACCTTCTTAAAGAAGCACACAAAGATTTCCAGAGACTTATGCTTGCTCTTGGCGCAACAGAGAATAGTTGAGTGGCTAAGTGGGTTGAATGCAGGGCTTTGATCTCTGAAGATCTTAGATTTGTCTCAGGCCAAATGCAAAATGGGTCTGGTGGCCTCCATCATGCACTGACACATATAGTTCAAAGGAAACTGCCGTATTGAAGGATGTATGAGGAAATATACACAACTCCCACCAGCACTACTTCTGGATTTAGCCAATGCTATCAGATCCTCGTGTTACTGGGTAACAGACTTGACCATTTTTATTAACATAACTAGCTAGCCCTGTAGTATCCCATGTACTGTGGGAGTCTGCCTGAGCTCAGAAATGTCACTCCTCCCACTAATTTAATTCACTAAGATTTAGTGCTTGATTTGCCGTGTATCGAAGAGTAGATGAAGGTATTGCAATGCTCACCCTCCTGGCTGATAGGAAGCAGCCAACATGGCTGTTGTGGGGTTGAAGAACTGGGGGATAAAAGAGGAGATGGAGGGCAAGAATGGAGAAACAACCGGGGAGCGGAAATGTTGTGATTCCACCAACCAGCCTAATAGTCATGCCTTGGGCTGACGAGAGTCCATTTAGTACGTGCCCTAAATTGGATAGGTGGCTGAGGAAAGAAACTCAACAATCAAAAGCTTGAAACTCCTCTTCCCCCGAAAGAGACTGTCACAAACAAAATGTTACAACTGAAAACATAAAAAAATAAAGGACAATGGGCCTGACCCAAAGTCAAACTCCCACTGACTCGAATGAGCTTTGGGTCAGACCCTTAAAGAGGATTATAGATCAGAGTGAGATAAATAATTAAAAAGAACAAACAACTTGCAATGATTTATTATAAATTCCGAACATGTAAAGCTGTAGTGGAAGATCTTATCTAGGAGACACCCATTGGCAACAAGATAGGAGATCCAAGCAATAGTTCTGAATTGATTCGAGCCTGGCATATGAATATATAACTTGGCTTAAAGCCATTGGAGCACAATGATCATGATGATGCATTTAATCTAGCCCAATTTAGCGTGTCTTTCTACTTTGAATATTAAATACAGAATTTTCAAGCTGCAACAATGTCTCTACAAGGAACAAAATTGATCAGCAAGTGATCAAAACTGGATTGTTTTTGAAACCTTGAGTCATTAAGAACCTGGATAATTGGGATCATAAAACTTGCTGATTTCAGCCAATATTCAAGGAAGTCAAATCAGGTGGAATTCAAATATATTTTAGGAAGTTGTCTTTTTAACAAAACAAACAGTTTAATACTTTTGTTTTCTTCCTGTTTGTCTACTCAAAATAGTCATAGCTTATAAATTTGGTGACTACATGTAAATATCCAGCTTTTTGGCTCTGGCTCCAAGGTGGTGTTAATGACTCAATAAACATATTCATCATGCATTAGCAGGCTTTAAAGGTGCCTTACACACACCACAATCCTTGCCAACCATCACTAGTAAATGACTGGAATTCTGAATGTCCATATCCATTATATTTATTTGATGGAGAGACCCTGAATATTCATTGGCATACTCTATACGGAAGGCTAAAATCCCGAATTGTTAGAATGTTTCTGAAACTAGCAGAATAGGAGATGGGAAAATTCATTAAGTTTTCTCTAAATTATATAAAAAATAATTTGCATTTTTACCTCTTGGCCCATTTCCATACTGCAAAGTTTTGTTGATTGAGCTTTGGCGTCAACCATAACATTAAACATGGTGCATATTGACTGGGGGACTCGGAAATCTGTTGATCGACTGGTTTTTTGCAGCTTTACTTCAAATGCAATCCTGGTTCTAGTAAAGAAAGTAGGAAAAGACCATTTCAGTTGGTGTTTAAGATACTGTAGCTAATAATATATGGAACACGATGCTTAGTGAAAGAGAAAATTTAATGCTACCGTAAATGGTAGAATACAACTATTTCAAATGTGTTTTACTAAAAATGATTTTCCAATTTAAAAAGAAACACTCTGTGCTACAGTTAAAGTATGTAACGGTCTCAGAGAAACCACCTCTTTCTCATACTTGGTAAGCAGTGTGATGAGATTACAAATAGAAGTGTTAAAAGTGTACACCTATAATTTGGACTGTTTGGGCTAATTTATACCTACAGTTGAAATGCAATCAAACAGTAAATGTAAACGTGATGAATTAAAGGAAATTCTGTCTATTGGTACACAATACTAAACACAAGTATCAAAGGGATAGCCGTGTTAGTCTGGATCTGTAAAAGCAGCAAAGTCCTGTGGCACCTTATAGACTAACAGATGTATAGTGTAATTTCCACTACATGCATCCGAAGAAGTGGGTATTCACCCACGAAAGCTCATGCTCCTATACGTCTGTTAGTCTATAAGGTGCCACAGGACTCTTTGCTGCTAATACTAAACACAGATGATACAAACCTGTTAATTGCTTAACTGGAAGGCCACTGCTGGATTATTGCAATTCTATCTTTTCACAGTGTTATTGCTTGCCTGAAACTTTCTTTGATTTTACAAATGTTCCTAGATGTTGTTTCTTTGAAAAACAAACACATACGTACCAGGATACCTTTACAAAAAGTCAGTTGTAAAATAGTGCACGTGTGTAATTACACACACACAAATTCTGTTGTCCTTGCTAAATTTTATTCAGTTAAAATTTGAGTGGGAGTTAAATTTTTTATTTCAATAAGAGTTTTGTCTGACTAAAGACTGCAGGATTGGTTGACAATAATTTTAAAATACTTACTGGGCCATAAGTGGCTCCAGTATTTCATATTGGGAATACTTTTAGCATAATGAGTAATGTCCCGATTCCTGAATTCTCTGAATGCAAAATGTTAGAGGGACTTTGTAGTTAAGGGAGTATTATATTCATTATTAGAAATACAACACAGAATCACATCATCAGTGGGCCTGTATCAACAAATTAATAGAGGAGCCTGGAATTAGAAACAAATAATATCAATTACACCTAATACCTCTGACCTTTCAGGATCAGAAAGAGCTATGGAAGTGTAGGCTCATATCTATAAATGAAGCTCTTGATTCTGTAATCAGATCTGTATGAGCACATGGGCCGTACAGCTTGGCTTTGATAGCAGAGTCAGGGTGTTGATAGGGGAGCGCAGTTCCCCCACACTGAGGTGCAGCCACTTGTGAAACGTGGCAGCTGTTCAACAGTGCACGGCAAGAGTGAGCTGTAGGTTAGAGGAAGAAGTGAAGAAAAATACCGCGTCAAACTGGAACTGCTAGGGAAATACAGGTTGACAGAATGAGCCAAATTTACAATTGGTGTAAGCAGGGAGCACAGCATCATTGGCTAACGCCAGCAGTGGATTGAGCCTGATGTAATTACCATTACCAGACGTTAGCCAGAGCACAGGGGTTAGCACCCTGATGTGGACGCTAGGTGATGGAATCTTTAAATGAGCAGGACCATGGTTTTGTGTCTGCCTGGAAAGATGAGCACGATCAGGCCCACTTCTAAAGCATCATCATGAACTGTTCTCTAATTACAGTAAATGTATTTAAAAGGGAAACTAAAGTGTATAACAGAAGTACTCTGAGGTACAGAATACCCCAAGCTACTCCCCAAGGTATAGCACTGGAAGGGCTAGTTATTTTAAAAGAAAGAGAAAAGAAATGTCATGGTCATGGAGCCGGGAGGCACACTGAATGGCCAATAAAGAGCAGAGCACTGTATTGCATGGACACATGCTGGTAGGTGAGCCAAGTCAAAGCAAAAGCACGGAGAAGCAAGAGAAATCCAACCCAAGAAGAATCCTCTTTACGGCTAAAAGGACTGAGCCGCAAGCCAGCTGCTATCCTTCTTCAGGAATAATCCTACAATTTTTCTGTGGTGTAGAACCGCTAAACTCCTCTTAGTTATTTCCTTAGTCTAATATTTACAATTTACATAATGCTAACTAGAGGTTCAGACTGATGCATCTATTTTCAGTTGGCTCTTAGAGAACAGAGTCAGACAAAGGGAACAACTCAAGACACTCAGCATTTATATCAGACAATATACCGGCAGAGCAAGAAAGAGGAGCTTTTCTAATGCCACAGGTATCACAAGACCTTTAAAGAAGGGACAACGTAATTAACGAATCTTTATGACCTATTGTGCAGTTTGCATCTGCAGGACAATACAGAATAAGAGACTGCACTACGTTGACAGTTAAACATGCCTTTTGGATGATCAGGAAGGAGACTTTATCAACACCCAAAGGTTTACATGTGAATGAAGATCTGTACCTCTGTGGGAACAGACCTTGCTGAGACCTGGGGACAGTGCTGGGAAATTGATACCGTCTGTGGGCATCTCACGTCTCCCTCTCTTTTTCCCTTTCCCTTGTTTGTTTTGCTAGGGTGGGGAAGGTTGACCTTGCTGGCTGCTATGGCCTTCCTGCGATGTGGCAGTGGTGCAGGGAATTGGCAGCAAGAGGCTGGTGCTGGGTGGCCCTTGTACATATGGATACAAATTGCCTCTCCCCAGGCTGGCAAGTGCTAAGAGAAGCTGTTGCTGAGAGCAGGGGCCATTCTCACTCCCTCGCTGGCTGCATGCAGTGTTTCCTACTCGCCCTCCCTTGGGGTCAGGAAAAGGGACCTTTTAATGGTGTTAATATAAGGGAAGCTGGGGGATGACTGACTTCATGAGCATGAGATTTTTCAGACTGGTCCTCGCTCACAGGCTCAGGATGAATCTGATCACAGTATCGGGGACTGGGAAAGAGTTTTTGCCTGCCAGTGCACCGATACGTTTTCTCTACCGCCTTCGCCCAGAACCTCCTGCAGCGAGATCTGGTTGGTACAGAAGAATGAAGCACTGATGCCCAAAGGCAGGTCCCACCTTGGTTGCAGAAAGGGAAGTTGGCACCTTAGCCTGCAATGGCGCAGATCAGGATAAATTCCCTTGCACAATGCTACAAAGACTGGGGTGTTTGCTGTTAATGCAGGCAACTTGAAAGGGCCCTGGCCAAGCTCAGCTTGAGATGGTAGAAGCTGTAAAATGGCTGCACAGGGTTCAGAAGAGATGTGCTGAAAATGGAGGGAGGAACAGCCCAGAGCATGGAGGAGGGCCTTACTTCCATACGCTCTGGGGGAGGGGCTCGTTGTGGACAGAGGAATGATGTTCCTCCCAGAGGCTGGGATAGTTTGAGGGCTGTAGCATGGGAAAATGCATCTCTTTGGTGCCCATGACAGGATGGCTCTCCTCAAGTTTTAACATTACCTGGCATTGCAGGGCCAATTGGCTGCCAGATAACCCGCAGTGGGAGTTACTGTATTTCAATAAAAGCTGTGGGCTTTGGCCTTTAATCCGATTATCTGTACGCTGTGTTTTATTTCACAGCAGCAAAGCCACCCTATAACCGCCATTTGTTCTGAGTTCCAATTTCTGAGCCCAAATGTCTGCACTTCGCGGATGGGGAGGTTGTGGATCCAAGCGGCCAGGAATCAGAGAACATTAAAACACATGCTTGCACTTGCAGTGCAGCCAGACAACGGTGGCACAGAGCCACCTGCACATACCTGCTGAGGCTTTCATCTGCCTCTACCTGTTCTTTTGCCATTTGCTTTTCTCATGCCCGAGGATGCGACATTCATTTCTTTCCCCCCACCCCCGTCACCTCCTTCTGAAACTAACCAACCAAACAGAAACAGTGGTGGGTAACGGGACAATATAGCCTGGATGTTTCCTTACCAAAATGACTGCTGTTAACATATCCGTAAGAGTTCCTTTAAGGTGTACGCTGTGCTTCAGAGGCTCGGCAGGAGCATATCATATGAGGTGGCATTGGCAGTGATGACTTTTTTCAATCAAAGGCAGCTGGAAAGCCTGACTGGTTCTCTGAATGGCACAGTCTCCTTTGTCGGTCACCCATGTGGGTGCTGAGATAGCACACAGGGCTACTCCTACAGCATTCAACAATCCTGCGCCCTAATGTGTTACCCAAACCTGACCCCAGAGGAGGCGCACAATAAACAACAGCAGAGAAAGCCTGAAGTAAGGGCGGGGGGTTTGTTGCCTTATTGGAAATAGGCATTGTCTAAAGCCTACATTTAAAAGATGTTGCCTTTTAGAGGTCAATAATTTGCAGAGATAAAAAGTGTGCTACCACCAAGCCTGTCTTGGATGGAAATAAATTAGGGCTTAAAAAGATAATGGCTGAAGTCAAGCTGAAAGGTAAAGTACAGCCCCCTCTTTTCCAATAAGATAGGGCAACCCCCCCGCCCCCAACAATTTCTTGTGATCTGCTACTACAGACCCTTCCAGTTCCATTGTTCAGACGTACCTCTTAACACAAGACTCGATCATGTCACTTGCCATAAGTTTTAGACGCTGTTCTAGGTGCTTTCCAAATTCTTCCTCAGGCCAGTGTAAATCCCGAATGAAGGTCTGCAGGGCATCAAGTTTCCAAAACAGATCTTCAGAGGTTCCTGATCCATTGCTGGCAGGGTAAAATGAAAACAGAAGTCATCCCCAGGACCCTGCTATTGGAAACCTGATGTGGAGACCATTCTTGTACAAGTTGAGGGCATACAGTGGCTTAATACACAGAACAATGCTGGGTAATCTCCATCATCAGGCTTTTGAGTTTTACCATACATTTGCCTAGTCTACCTTGCTGTTATAACTCACAAATCTTTCCAGACCAGATGATAAGACAAAATTATGAATTACGCACATTAACTGGAAAAAGTGTGTATGGTAAAAATCAGCCTTAGCTAATAACCACATTGACATATGTGATTATTCAAAATTAAGGCTCAAATTTGTAGTAGAAAACCCTTGACGGACAATAACTACAGTACATGAATGTATGCAGTTATTCAAATGTAGGGTTTCATGCATTTTTTTCCTTCAAATGATATATTTTTAATTTTTTCCCCAACATTTACCAGGTAAAGGACAGTGCTAACAAGTGGTGAGCGAGGACACACCTTATCTCTTGAACAGCTGGAAAAAAATCAGGGTAAGTCAATTGAACTAAGAACACTAGACATCTCATGTGAAAGAGTTTTGGTTAGGTTGACTACTCCACATCTCACAGATCAGCCTCTTGCGAAGGCATCTACAGGACAACAGATTTTTTTTTTTTTAATTTCTATTTTTTTGCAATGTCTTTGGTCTGTTGCAAAAGTCTGAATTCTTTCCAAAGTGCATAGTCTTACCCACTCCTCTGCACAGATGGGACGCTTCAGGCTCGTTGTGTATAGCTACTTTGGTTCTTTTCAACTATAATTGTGTCTAAAACCTCCACTTACAGAATAAAATACAGGCCTTGATTGTGTTTTGTTGGTGCAGAAAAATTTATCTATAACCCTTTTTTCTCTCTCTCTCTTTTTCATGACAATTACCAAGAGATCTTCAAGAGTTTTAACCCCCTCCTCGCATACCACTAATGCTAACACAGTAATTGATAAGATGTTTAACACACCATGCATTACCACTTGTGCTGACATCGTCTATAGAAACAGATGAGGAAGGGTGTTTCTATTGTGACAGATGCCAGCTGCATTGAGTTAATGCTACAGAGGAAAACGTAGCCGATGCATACATGGCTACTGCCAGGTGAAAACCATACTCCCAACATGCTAGAGGGGTCCTGTGAGGGCTTGTGCTAACAAAGGTAACAATTTAAAGAACGAATCAGCTCAGAAGTAGGAACAGATGTATCTGACACTAAGGGAGAGGTAACACTGAAACAAGTCTTTAATAATGAACTGTGAATGGGTACAAGGGAACTGGGACACTGAAAAGATAGAGAATCAGGCATTTCCTTAAATGGTATCTTTAGTCAAAAAACTATGTTGTGGAACTTCAATAGCACAGCCCTGAGAGTCAACCTAGCTACATTTGTAGTTTCTTCTGTTTGAGACCTATGCTTAGGAATAATTAAACTTTTTCTAATCTAATCCCAGTTTTGGAACTGCATGAATTTATGTTTTAAATAATTAAATACACATGAATGCAATAATTGGTATTTATTACAACAACATTATGACACCCATCTGGTTTCAGAATTTTCAAAAAAATTACTCTCAGTATTTTTTTCTTCTTTTGAACAGCTCATTATTAGGTTTTCCTGGGAGGAAAGTAATATTCTATGTTATGTCCAAAATGAACTGTTCATTGTTAGTGCAATAGCACCAAAATTGCTTTGATCACATAGAAATTTGCAAAATGCCTTTCACACTTAAGCTTTAGTTTTATTAAAGATGACTGTCAACTTTACTGTCATGTCTTGATTCTTATCTTTTCAAAAACAAGATCACAGAGCATGCACAGAGAAAAAAGTAAGACAAACTTTCAAGTATTATTTACAGATACTGCCTAATCTAGCCTTTAATACAGCCAACTTAGCATGAATATGAGTTGTATTTCTTTGAAACGCAAATTACTCTAATATTTCAATTTTTTAAAAATAAAAGGGCATTGGCTTTGCCTCCAGTTCATTAGTATTAGTATAGAGCATATTCAGTAGAATCCAGGTGTAGATGTAAATTACGTGTAGTTTCCTGTACCTGGACCATAGCCCGCCTCTGCCACCCTTCCTGCCGAATAAAAAGTCGATGTTTATTGTTACTGTGAGACTTTTCATCTTTGGGTAAAGTGACAATTTATTCTTAAATACAAAGAATTTGTATTTAAGGGGGGAGGGATAGCTCAGTGGTTTGAGCATTGGCCTGCTAAACCCAGGGTTGTGAGTTCAATCCTTGAGGGGGGCCACTTAGGGATCTGGGGCAAAATCAGTACTTGGTCCTGCTAGTGAAGGCAGGGGGCTGGACTCAATGACCTTGCAAGGTCCCTTCCAGTTCTAGGAGATAGGATATCTCCATTAATTTAATTTATTTAATTTAAACAAATCAATAAGCATGTCAACCTATCAGCAGCTCTGGTATAAGAAAAAGATCAAAGCATGATATACAGGGGAGTCGCATCTTACGCGGGGGTTACGTTCTGAAGTCAGCACGTAAGGTGAAAATTGCGTATAGTCAAACGCTCATTGAGTGGAATGGCGGGTGGAATCACCCGCACTACAGGTACAGTATTTAAATTGTTATTTTTCTCTTTTTTGTTTTGTTTTGCCGAGCGCGTATAGTTAAAATCGCTAAGTTAAATGCGCCTATGATGTGACTCCACTGTAGATTTGTCAGACTTTGTTTGTTTTCAGGTTTAATTTAGATTGCTCTGAGTATTGGTTTACCAGGCTGTGTAGAGCACGCAGCTCAGGGAAGCGAACCTAGCAGCAATTTTAACACTGCCTCTCTTTCCCTCTTCGGGAAAGCACATACCCAGAGGGATGGGGGGGATGGTACTTGGGTGGCTAGACTGAGTCACCGGCCTGCACTGCGGACACACTGCTATATGTAGGTACTAGCTCGAGCAGAGCTAGTGTGTGTACATCTACCCGAGCTGGGAATTACATTTCCCAGCTGCTGTGCAGATGTACCCTAAGGTGCTGCTGCTTGGCAAGTTATTCTGGGGATCCTAACCCTTAGCAACACAAAAAGCTTTGCTGAAAGCACACGCTTAACGTTAAGCACATGTGTAGCCTTACTGACCTCCATGGTACTCATGTGCTTAAACGGACACGTGTGATTGAGGCCATGATTCAGAGAAGCATGTAAGCATGTGCTTAAAGTTAACCTTCCTGCAGTGGGCTCCTTTCATGAATTGGGACCTTGGTGCTTTGCTGGCCTGGCCTGGCATGGCCTGGCATTTCTCCCCTTTCAGCTTTTAAGAGGGAAGAAAGGATGGGGAATGGATGGTCACAGAAGGAGTGAGGGAGTAGGGAGAGAATACAAGTAGCATTTATTAAAACAAAGTGGCCATCTGGGGCGGTGCTGGCGACTTTGAACTTTCCTCAGGAGGAAGGTGGTTTATGAGGAGCAGGAGAGCGGTTGGGAGGTGGGAGTTCGTGAGAAGTGAGGTACATATTAGCGTAGCAGGTGGGTGTGGATTTCTGAGTCAAAGCACCAGGGTGTGCATACTGCATGGCTGTCAAAAAACAACAGGACATGGGCAGCTCAGAAACTGTCCAATATCCCTGTGCTTTGACTGGCTGAGATAATCCTTCTGCCATGTAACACTAAGTAAAGTTGAGCAATTTGAAGTGAGAACTTAGAAAGTCTCAATTTTTATGCTAGTAAATGTTATGAGAATGACGGCCCAACACGCAGTGACAGCTTTGTTTATCCCTTTGGGTATCAATCTCTGGCACCACTCAATGGCTGTGACTGTTAAGGGGGACCCACCATAATTACAGAAGTCACATGACCTAAACTGAAAAACATGCATCTATCATGCCTCTTCATTGAGTATGTGTCCTACATCATAGGACAGTCACAAGGTTAACAATCTTGTGTTAGGCACAGGAACGCAGAGCACTGGTTATTACATACTAGTGACTTGGGCCCTGTTTGATTTCCTACATTTGATTCAAGACATTCAGAATGATTTTTAAGTATTGAGGTTGGAGGTTCTAGAATTCAATTACCATTTGGGCTCCCCATGTCATGCATAAGAATCCTTATAGATGCCTCCCCCCTTTGTTTGAAATATTGTACAAGAATTCCAGGCAGTAAGGAACTTGCAGAAAAATAAAAACTCACTTTTAGATCTACATCTGGTCCATGGAAATTAGTCAACTTGCACTGCAGTTGGTTCATCCTATCTTTTGAGACATGTCAGCTCATATTTTAAGTACTGTAGTTTATACTCCAACAGGACTACAGCCCACTGTCAACAATTATTTTGTGAAGTGAGACGCTTGCTCAAGCTTCCAGCGGGCGTAAGACAAAGTCTCAATATTTATGAAAACTTCTAATGTACATGCCAGAAATACATAAGGGTTGCCTCATTTAGTAAAATATCTAATTATCTATCTCTGTCACTCTTTTAAAGTTATATATAATGCACAGAAACAAACAACACATATCCATGCCAAGATTACTTTAAATTTAAATGAGATCTAATGTGAACTCAATACACACTCAGAATCATATATAGCAGCCATCCATGACGGTGCAGAAAAGCTAGGCATTTGTGGGATGCCTAGTGGGATGTTAACTGGTAGATTTGGTACTTTAGGGAGATTCACATTTGGTAGATTCACATTGGGCAGATTACTTGTTAAACTCCTGTGGAAGAAACAGACAGAAAGAAAAATACCATAACAGTGACAATGCAGATGTAGCAGAAGCACGTGACACTCAAACAAATCTGCAAAGTTCACAGCAAGACAACAGTCAAAAAACTAAAGCAAAACATTTCAGAAAGAAGCATGAATATGGGAGGCTTAAGTGTGGCTATTTTTTTAGTCTGCGATAAAAAGCAAGTTACTTCAAAAAATCAACAAAAGAAGAAAAATCACAAAGCCGCAAATTAACAAACTACTCAAACACCCACACAAAATAACTTAATTTACAGGTCCTGATACAATTTCAGAGCACAGAAAGTAGCTTTTAATTTAAAAAATATACCACGAGCAAGCAAATCTGAATTCTTATATCAACATTTAGATTGGGTGGATATATGAAACAGCTACACTGAAAGACCTGTCAGGAATTTTAAAGGTTTTGTCTTGGAATCAGGGTTCAAAGTAGTAAACACTGACGGTGAAATCCTGGCTCCACTGAAATCAATGGGAGTTTTGCCATTGAACTCAATGGAGCCAGGCTTTTCTCCTTAATGAAAACTCCCCATTTGCCCTGCTCTCTCCAAATGTTATAGATTTGTTTTCATTTGGAGCACATGAATGCTGTTCCACCAACCAGAAGAGAAAGATTCCAATCTTGCAACTGTATCCATGCATGCAGACCCTTGTGGGGCACCGCAGGTGCAAGAATCTCCCTGTGTGTCTTTGTTTGCTAGATCATGGCCTAACGATCAGGGGGGAGGAACACTTTATAATGTGCACTGACATCTAGGTGTATGTTTTCAGTGTGGTATGCAGAGAATTATGAACAGATCCTGATTTCTTAGCATGAGATTTGTGTGTGAATGTTTCCCACTTGGAAATGGGGCCCTGGGATGTACTCAATGGTCAATTTCTGAAGGATGTATAGCTGGGCATTATGAATTTAATAGCATTCTCAAGATGCACAATTATTACATGAAAGAGAACTTTTAAAAAATGATTTTGTCTATTAAATACAAGGTGGTTTAATGTAATATGCTTTCCAGAAACAACGTACAGTAAAATGACGCTGCATGCCCAGGGTTTCCAAAACATCCAGAAACATTTTAATGTCCCTACATTGGTTAAAATAGCTATAACCGTATTTTAAAAGCATCTCGTCATAACAATATTTTACATGAACATGGGGTTTTGGTATCTGGAAGATGTAGAATTTGGGAAGTTTATTCCTTGCGCTATCTGATCAACAAGACGTAAGTCATTTTCAGAAAACTCTCTCTTTCTGCCTTTACAGAGCATATTAGGGCATAAACCAAGAACATGCTTTACAGCCTCATTTCAAAGGCAAATCCAGAAGTCCCGGCTCAGTTTTTATTGTGTCTTTATTCCCACTGGGAGTTTGAGGAAGGAGACAGTAAAACCCGAGTCAGGACACCAGATTTAATGCTTAATTCTGTAGCAGTGCAGTCAGGGGAGGCTTTGCCAGTGACTGGAATTCATGCAGTTTCAGGCATTTAGCCTCTCAAGTTTATGAGATGTTTTAAAAATTAATCCAGCCTTAATCGTCTGGCTCAGCAATATGAACACAGAGGATGGTCATTCCGGAACTCTGCTTTGGAAGGTCTCTTCCACGCCCTATACAGCTATTGTCTTCTAGGCGGCTTTAACGGCCATCCTGCAAAACTGTATAATTTCATGTTCTCCTCTTCCAATGGAGCAATTAAATTATATTAGCAATTTGCTATAGGTGTAAATACATGTTTGAGCTGCATTTCTTATGGTCAATCTTATTATATCAGAAAACAAAGATACACATAATTGCATCAACAATACTGGATATAAAATTGCTAATGCAATAACACGTTTAAACGGTATCGTTACAAGAATCAGCCAGTAACTGCATTTCAAGGCATTAGTTACACAGCCAAGAGGCAGAATGACTTGGATTTTCATTCTTAACTTTTGAACAAAGTTCCACGTCCAGGGAAAAATACAGTTTAATGTCATTTTGGGGTGAAAAAGATGCTTTCTGATTTATTTATGTTTCTGGTAAATTTGACTTCACACTATCTGCTTGTTCTCCTTATGAATGAAGAAACATATATAGGAGCCTTCTCATGCAACAAAACCATCCAGTTTCCATTCAGGTGCGTATATGCCTCTTAAAGTGAATATGATTTTCAAATGATACACCTATTTCATAATGACTGAGAAATCGTTAGATCTTTAGGAATGGTATGTCCGTGTAGTTAATATTGATATTGAATAAATCAAAAATAGCAAGGGATGGATAACATATAAATGTATAAGGAAGAGCAACTGAAAGAGATTAGCCAGATGGTGAACACATAAATAAAAAAACCCCTTTGTTTTTAATACTAAAAATTCAAGAAGATACTTAGTGTCATATTCATTAAAACATTGTATTATTAAAATGATTTTCCACAGAAAATACTATACTGTATTCACATTTAAACATATTTCTTTTACACAACACATTATTTTGCTGATGCGCTGTGGCCCTTGCAAGGATAAGTTACAACTTTTAACAGCAAAATAATGTAGTGTATGTAGTGTAATGTTAACACACAGGGCCTGATTTTGAAAAAAGCCTTCTCCTTTGCAGTCACAATTTTGCAGGTGCAACTGATCTCATTTACACATCTAATGATCTGATTTGCACCTGCAATCAGGTAGCTAGATCCGTAAATGACATCAATATCATCCATAAATATTTGTGTCTGCATTTATTCAGGCCATAAAATGACAGGTACAAAATGGGAAGCTGCTTCTAAAAATCAGCCCATATCTATTTTAATACAAGATGTTAAATTTGGCCCCAATCCAGCAGTCTGACGGAGGTGACACTCAGCTCATTGGTGGCAGAGGGTTGGTTGGTCTACGAGGATTCAGTTTCAGAACTGGGGCCTAATGTATGTGATAAGGGAAGTTCTGTCAGATTGCACAGCTCATTTTGCACTGTTCTTCTATTTACTCCCAATTTTTTCTATTTTCTACATTTCCACAATTCACACCTCCATTGTCTAGCTATAAAAACCTCATCACAGCCACGCTATCAGTGACTAATGGCATCATGGTAATGTACCCTATGAAAATAAATTAAAAAGTTCACTTTCCCTGTTGTAGTATTGACCACAGAAAACCAGTAAAAATGCATAAGAAACTACATAATAAATGCCATACTATGCAATTGATATAACAGAGTGGCCAGAAAACCGTGGAGTTTTTATTGAGTTAGCCCACCTAGGTACAGAACATGTAAATAAATTAGAGACTTGTTGGTGCTTAAACGTTCAGTTCCCACAGGTACCCTGAAATCACTTACTGATCAGCTATTCCTCTAGAAATTCTATTTGATTACTGTAAATGCTGAACCAATCCAAGTGGTAGTCTTTCTACAAAGGCTTCAGTACTAGGGGCATATCAGTGAAGTTAGTAGCAAAATCTTTGCTCTGTCTGTGGCTTGATAACCGTAAATAATATACACCTACAAGAACTTTTTCTTGGCAGGCCACTTTTTCTCAGGACATCTCTCTAGCAGGACAACCTCACCTGTTCTGTCTGACTTGCTGATATACTCATGCTGTTTAATTGGTCACATGTTATATTAATATATTAAGGATACGTTTATAAAGGGTTAACAAATGATTAACAAATGTTAACATCATTAGCAGTATGTGTTTTGGATGGTTATAGGTACAGGAGTATAAAGCGTTGTAGATAGTTATAAGTAATGGGTATCATAACAATACCTATCTCTTGTATAGTGCATCTTCCCTCAGTAGATCACAGAGCATTAACAAAGTGGGTCAGTACCATTATCCCCAATTTACAGATAGGGAAACTGAGGCACAAAGCAGGGAAGTGCTTGTCCAAGTTCACCCACTGGGCCAGTGGCAGAGCTAGGAACAGAAACCATATCTCCTAAGTCACAGAGTCCAGTGCTCCACCCACTAGCCCATCCTTTAAGGTTATTAGCCCCATTTTACAGATGGGGAACAGAAGCACAGAGAGATTAAGTTATAAGCAACCTGTTGGACTCTATAACAATCTATAATAATTGATGGACCATTTATTACAACATCTTATTTTCCTTTTATAACCTGCTTACCAATGAATCCTTAATAAAGCGTGGCCATTTGGTTGGGTTTTCAGTATGCAAATTCAACTTGCAAATTGAAAAGAAGTGCTGAGACTGACCGTCTTGTACTAAAATCCAGTGACTTCTACAATGTTACAGAAGTTACTTTTCTGGTCGTTCGGGTGTCCCAGAAGAGATTTGTACAATTTTCTACCAAACCAACTCAAAAGGCCAGCAGTGGTCATTACCCGACGGTCTGCTCAAGAGGACGTCATCTGCTAAGTGCTCTGCAACCAGTATACATTTAGGTGTCTGGTGGTTGCTATGTATTTCAGAGCTCACTGAGAAGCTAGTGGAAAAAAAGCTAAGGGCATGAGGCTGCCTCTCACCTGACTTTATATACTAAACCAATCTGGAAACAGATCTAACTGACACTCTCTGTGATAAGGTTTGCTGTTTCACTTCGTTTCATTTTCTCTGCATAGTTTTGCACAGACATACCAGCTGTGCAAACTGTTACAGGGCAGGTAACCCATGCTCATAAGTTCTACAGCTACTCAGAGCTTGTGCAAAAGAGTCAGATTACACAGCCCGCATGAGAAAATTATGTGGACATTTTTTCTTCAGTGTTTTCAATATTTAATGGCATCTATCTTACTGTTTATATGATTCTATACCCAGCTAGTCGTAGCATAAGGTGAACAGTATCCAGCAATGAAAATATAAAGATGACATGCTTGTCTACTGCCATCTGGTCAGGTTATATAGGAACATATACTTCAGCCTTGATTGCAAGCATGAGCATAGAGAAGCCTTTTAAAAAGACTATGCTGTGGAATAATTTCCTGGCTGTCACGAGGTAATGGGATTTCACTCTCACAATTTGATGTAAAGATCTAAAGCAGGATAGCAGTAGACATGTATTCAGCTTCACCTCTTCAGGCCAAGTTGAAAGCCTTTCTTCAAAGCTGAGTAAAGCTGTGCAGAATTTTCCAAGGGCAAAGATGTTTTATGTTTTTAGCAGTATCATTTCCATTGTTGCTGCTACATTACTATGCAATAGTGTAACAGGAGAAGGTCAAGTTAGTGTCTTTTGCACTGTTGCAGTATTAGAATGCTATTTATTTCAGTCTTTCTTGTGAATGTAAATACAGGCAAATATCAGTGTGTAAACAATATCGTGCACTCATCTGGGAAATATGAAGTGGTGGTTACCAATTGTCACCTCCGTAGAGCTGCAAAATAGGACAAATAGCCCAAAGAAATCAACTGTCTGATAGTGTGAATGGGTAGCTGAAAGAGGAGGTATGTGGTGGAGTTGGGGAGAGTAAGTAAAATACATCTGTTACGTTGAGTCTGCTTGCAGGTTTATTGTGGATTCATAGAGTCCAAGGCCAGAAGGGACCATTGTGATTATCTAGTCTGACCTCCTGTATAGCACAGGCCAGAGAACTGCCCCAAAATAATTCCTAGAGCAGATCTTCTAGGAAAACATCCAGTCTGGTAAAGAATAGCACACTGCCCATGAGACAGTGAAAGAAGATTCCTTAACATCTAGTTCTGAACCATGCCCCAAACGATCATCAGTAAGATCGGAATACGATTCCCTATTTTCCTTCACGCAGTGCATATTGTTCTCTATGTTTTGCACAGATATGTTCACTGGCTTTATGTCAAATCCCAATGAGTTATCTTTAACAACTCTCTCGCTCTGGTAAACTAAGAATGAAATATCTGCTAGTGAAAAAAATTATTAAAATGCATGTTTTCACTAAAGGAACATAAGCTTTCCATGAACAGAATACATACTCCGTGTCAAAGCACTTTTAAGCATCCCAGTCCACTCTATGAGAAAGATTAGTCTCAAAGTGAAACATTAGACTAAGAAAAGAAGTTTTCATAACTTGAAGGAGACATTAAAATTATAGCATTAACATATCAGAAACTCCCTACTTTAATTTTGAAAGCGATTATGTTCCACATATCCAAAACATTGAGAAAACATTTCAAAACCCAAATGTTGTTACAAAACCATACATTTATATAAATCTATATTTGAGTCTAAGGTTAGTTAAAACCAAAAATATTCATTATTTTTAAACATATTCAAGTTTCTGATTTAAAACAAATAAAATAAAAAGAGCTAATTATTTGTCAAATGCATGGTTAAGTAGTATGGTTACATGAAGTGATTGCACCAATTTTATAACATATCTATTACTAAAGTCATGCTGCAAAATTAAAGCTAATGCTAACTTTAAAATGCAGTTCTAGCTGAAGAAATTATTATGTAAAAATGGCATTTTGCCACTCAAAGATCAATTTCCTGTGTATTTTCAGAGTTACATCAGCTTATTTTAGAGTAAAAAATGATTTTTTAGTGTTTTTAATCCTCTTAACACTGCAAATCCAAGACAGCAAAGGGAAAGTGAGCTGGATTCTTCTATTCCTTCTCATGTATCGACATAATGGAATACTGAGTTGCAGTCATTTACCCCTCTGTAACAGGGATAAATGACTGAAAAGAGGGATTGCACGGGAGTAAATGAGGGCCTAATTTGGCACACAAAACCTTTACTGCTGGTGGTGATGTACTAGAAAGCAAGAACCATCCTAGATAATCATATTCCAGGTTGAATTTGGAGGGCCGGCTGTCTGCACAAAATCTCTTTTAACTGGTATGGAATCTCTTTTTGGTATGGAAAACACTGAAAGACACACACCCCTTTTACATAGTAACTTTTCAGAGAAGAACAATATCCTATACTGGGTATCTTTCAGTTTACTGTTTTAATTTTTTTTAAGGATACACGTCTTTCATAGTATCTAACCATGCCTTCTTGGAACAAGCATGACAGTATTCTGCAATGCTTAGAAACTTAAGAAGTAATAATTATACTGTAAAATTGCCATTGTTTTAAAGGACTTTATGTTTTCAAAATTGCACAGATCTTAGGCTAAGAGTTTGGTCTCTCACTACATTTATTTCTTAGTTTTAAGCTATCGCTTCTATGAGATCAGTAAATAGTTTTGCTCAAATCTTCCCTCTAATTTCTGCTCCACAGTAGTTTTATAGCACACCAAGTTTCCCTTTAGGGCAGGTACCTCCAGGATCTCTCCCGAACCTGGTTTAAAGATGTTTATTTCTGAAAGCGCATAGCTTTAAAGCAGTATCTTGCGCTGGTGCCCTTCACAGATTGCATTTAAAAAAATCAATCCAGCGATCAGCAGTGGTGCTGAACTGACGAAGCACATCTCTGCATTATCCCTTCACAGGGTGGGTGGAAAAAAATGAGTTTTTGGAATAAAAATTGCAATAGTGACCCACCCAATGTATAGGGCTGGACCGAACACAGTAAAGCAAGGTTTTTGTTCTGAAAAGAAGCTATTTGTATTTAAGAGCAGCATTGGAAAAGGCTTTTTAGATTGGGTAGTAAGATCTAAAAAGCCAAGCAAAATGAGAGGATTTCACGTTTCTCATATTTCCATTTGCACAGCTAAAGTGTTCAACTTAAGTCAGTATTTCACTAAAAAAAAATCACATATTTTTTTTTCATAAACCTTTAAAACCCTTAACAAATTAGGCCTTATATTTTTAGGATTGTACTAGAAAATATAAGGCATTTGCTGGATGTCCAATCTAGTGTTTACTACTTCATCTCTGTACGAATCTCCATCCATTTGCACCCAAACTCCGATTGTATCAAAGGAGATTTCCTTACTTTACTGGCTCCCATGATTCCCGCTCAAAGCCCCTGTGAATTGATTGTGCAATTGAGGACTCCATCAGATCGACATATCTAACAACAAGTGGAGCAAACAGGTCTTGAAGGTGTTTGTGGAATTTTCCATTGCACAAATTATCTAGAATAGATAAATAAAAGTATAGTAAGAAACTATTGTTACTGAATCCTCTGTAACAACCCACAAGTAGTGGCATTTTATTACACAATGAATATGCTGGCTAATATGAAGAAATTTCATAACTGTAGTTTGCACTGGGAGTCCTGAACCACCAAGATCAGTGATAAACACAGCAGGATTGAGCTCTTAACTGGAACAATCAAACAGTAGCTCTTCTCCATTAGTATCAAACTTAGAGATAACAAAACAATTATGTACTATTTGCTGTTATAAAAAGAGTACAAATGAAACAGAGTGTGGTAAACATCACTGCCTGTGCAGGCTGGGAAATCAGTGCTTCATTAGAGAATCACTTCTCTTATTCAGGAAATTGTTTTTCTCCTAAGAGGAACCTCAACACTCATTAGGCATGTCATAAGAAGCTAATTAAGGCCTGGATCCTGCAATAGGCTCTTTTTGCAAGATTGGGGTCTAATTTACTAACATGGGTCAGATGGGACTGGACGGCACTGCGTGGGATTTCCAAGAGCACTCAGAATTGGCCTAATTCTGCTCCCATGGCAGTTAACGGGAATTAACAGCATTGGCTTCAAAGGGAGCAGAGTTAGGCCAATAGGGGGCGCTTCTGGAAATCTCACCTGTCCTACCAGCATGTAACATGACAAGAGAGAAAACAGTTCAATCCACTGCTAACCATGCTTCTTTGCATTTCTCTTGCGTATAAAGCAACCGTATGTCATTTATTTTACTCAATATAAAACCCAGATGTCTTTCCTTTCCTTAAGCTCTTTGGGGTGTGGGGGTGGGGGGTGGGGGAGAGACTCCATATTTTGTAAAATATGGTGCAGGTAGAAATGCTTAATAAATTTACTAACCATCAATAATGCACTCACCGCCATGGAACCTGAGTGAATAGGACATTACAGAAGTTCCACTCCCTGACTTTGAACAGGAATTTATCTTTACTTAAAACAAATTCCTGAGCAAATGAAAGGCAGGAAAAGATTTTTTTTATATTAAAGTAAAATAAATAAATGATATACGCAGCAATTTTTCCCTAAGGTAATCACAAAATTAAACGGATACATTTGTTTTAAAGTACCACCCCATCCTGGTTTTCTGTCCAGTATGGAAAAGCCGGAAATAGCATCAATAACCTGGCAGATTTGCCCTATCAAAAATACAGGGTCAAAATACAATACATACAGTCAGCACGGAGGAAATCATTGAGCAGCTGAAATAGTGGAAAGCTGTCCCACGTGTCTGGGGGTTGCACCTCTAACGCAGCGTCCATATCCACCGCAAACAATGACAGGAAGGTTTCTGCATGTTCAACCATTAAGTCTGACCACCACGCAAAGGCCTTAAAATGTGGTAGAAAAAAATAATAATAATAAAGAAATGTATTAGCTCTATTAAAGCACAGTCAAGGAGATGAGACCATTTATCGTAAAAACAAATGTGCATCCCAGGGAAAACCAGCTTTATTGTAAAGAGAACAGTGCTTTCAAATGTTAGCCACGGCATGTACAGTGCAAATCACCTACCATTTTGATACAGAAATGTCTCATAGCGCATACATTCAGAACTGCACTGTACGAATAATCAGGTGTAACATGACAGGAAAGGTATGTCTGTTCAATTTACAATAACTCACTAAGATTTTTCTTGAATCATGCTATTTACTGGAGGAGTCAACTAGTTCTTATTCTAAGGTATAGAAACTGGGAGTTTCTTCACTGTGTTTGTGGGTTTTCTGCTACGTTTTTCAATGGTTTTTCAATGTATTTGGATTTGCTATTACTGTTCATCTTGAAATGCTAGAAGCCTGCACTTTCATAGTCTTTCCTAAATCTCTTATCTAGAAATATTTCAAGCATCACCAGTAAAAATTACTACAGCACCTTTCATTTTACATGGTTAGGTATAAAGCTCTTTAAACTTACTAGCATTATTTACAACGCCACTTATTATGAAAATGAATTTGTAACCAATTTCAGAACTATGTTATAGACATGTCAGGATACCAGTCTTAAAACATCAAAATCAAGCCAGGACTTTACTGAGGCAGGAAACATATATAAACTTGAAAACCAAAAAATATCAGTGAAGTAACTCATTTTCATGCACATGGGTCCTTAAAATTCACTGTACAGGTTCTCTGAAGTGACATTCACATCATACATGGCTCAGATGCGAATGTGTTTCAAACGCAGGCATGCGTGTTTAGTAATCACTTCTGGCTGGGAACATGCAGTATGAGCGGTGCTGTCAATAGGACCGTGTGCAGTAATTTTTAGGTGATAGGAAACTACTCAAAGATTTAAAGTGTCTACCTAAGAAATATCATCCCAGACTTTCCAAGAGAAAGAAACCTAATAAATAGGCACCAGACTAGAAAGATGGAACAAAGAAGACTGAGAATAAATGTGTCAATTTAAAGAGAATGTTAGCCAGGAATATGTTATTCCTGTTAGCCAGGAATATGTATTTTTGCCTCCTGGAAGGAGTAAGTTTCTGTCAGACGTGAATGGACAGAATGGATTTCTATCTTTCTTAGGGCTTGCATGCATTGAAGTTCTGCCATTGACATCAATGACAGCAGCATTTGTTCATTAATCCCTATTATTGAGCTTGTTTTAGAATGTTGCAGAGCCTAACGTTAATCATCCATTAGACTAAGGAGGGCGTTTTGCCATATACAGGTACCTGTACCCAGAGCCGACAAGGGGGGGGGGAAGCCGGTACAAATTACTGGGGCCTGGTGGTCCAGAAGGGGGCCCGGGGCCCGGCTCACCCCCCCCATCAGCCTGTTTAGCCGGTCCGCCCTTGCTGGGGGGCCCGAAAAAATTTTTTCACCGGGGCCCGAACCCGCTCTTGGCGGCCCTGCCTGTACCTCATAACAACATTCCTGCCAACGGCAGAATCCCTTGAATAGTTTCCCATTTGGTCTCCCTTGTACTCAGCTTCCAGCTACACAAGCTACAAAGCCATGGGACTGAGTCTCCATTTCACTATCCCAATTTTATGCCACTCTAACTCCACTGACCTCAACAGAGTCACACCAGCATAAAACCAGTGGAAAAGAGTAAAGAATCAGGCCAACTGTGTGTATAATTGTATAAGTGTGGCCTGCCTTGTGTGCCAGCACCAGGGAATGAGGGGCAGGAAGGTGTGCCCTTAGCCCTTGCACTGGTGCATCATAGCACCATTTCCTGCACTCGGAGGGAAGCAGGCTCTGCAGAGCAGCTCCACTCCCTTGCTCCAGTGGGCAGGAAGAGGAGAGAGAGGGTGGAGAATGGGAGAAACCTTAGCTCCAGCCCTCCGCCCCCACCAATTAATGCCCAGTAGCAGATCTGTGCTGGCACGCTGGGGAACACATGCTGCACTGGGTATAGATCTGGTGCAGTTTCACTTCCTCCCTGGAGCAGCACGAAGAAATTCTCCAACTCAGCAACACGCAGCCCCTTAGTCTGGGCAGACTGCAAACTGACATCCATCACACGCGCCATCACTGAAAAAAAATCTGCCCCCATGGATGTTCAGTAAGCCCAGGGTCAGATGCAAAGACCGTCTTGGACTTTTGCTAACGTGATTGCTGACTAGTTGTTCTACGACTGCCATGAACAGTGCGAGGCCGCTCAGCACCGCTGAGTGTGAACCAGTGCTGTTAGCGGCTCTCTCTGGGGTTCATGTCCAAAAGGGAGAGAGAGAGAGATGTGAAAATGCTGCTTTGATGTGATGGTGGGTTGGATATTTTTACACAATATTCTCCAACAGCGAGATCATCTGAAGCAAAAGTGGCAGGAATCAATTCTGCTTTCAACGTCTGCTCAAATTTTCTCCAAAGGTAAAAAACATAAAACCTATGGTGGTTGACAGTGTCCCTTTAAAACAATTTTTTAAAACTAGTTTGGAAGAGTTGATACTTGCGATGCCACATTTTTTCTGGCTAGGCTTTGTTTCTTAAGAATATAAAATGCTGTCCCCTTGCCAAGTTATTAGCAAATGGATCTGAGTGCTAAGAATCCTATTAGTAACTCTGTCCATGAAGATGAACAAAATCACTATTTTGGGGGGAGAAAAATAATATTTTCTCCAACAAATCCCAAAATATTTATTTAAGAGTGCTGCAAGAAAACCTGCTTTCATGAGAAAGAATTTTTTTTTAAAGAAATTAACAAGAAAATCTATATGTGATCACTTGTGAAAAACACAGTCATACTTTTATTTCTGCTGGAATTATCAAATTCTACCTTCATAATTATCCAACTCATGTCTGGGATCCTCCCACCCCTTCACAGCTAGGCACTAATTTCTTGAAATGAGAGAAGTAACATTTCATCACTCAAAAATCTCTTTCAATTTTATCAACCATCTACTTACCTGCTTTGCTTCAATATGATTTAAGGAAAAAAGTGTGCTTTCTAGACAAACACACCTAATATTGTATATCTTACACACAGATACACATGTATATATGCATATCTTCAAAGAGTTAAAATACATATATACATATACATACATATACATAGAGAGAGAGAGGGCAAGATTAAAGATACATGAAGGCTTAGGTCTTATGACATTTACAATCATTCTTCCATGTGGAGGAGAATCAACTTTGGAGACACCTGATGAGAGAAATGACATGAGTCTAAGCTCTCATGTATTATAGTTGTGTACATACTGTACAATGGATGTTTCTTCTGCACTTTTGTCTGGGCAATTTTATTTCTTATTGTGACTAACAAAAACAACTTAATAAAATATAATTTCTCCAAGTTAATATTTTTCAAATTTTTCCCATAGGGTAGTGGCCATTTGGGGGCTCTCAGATTTGTTTTATGAGTCTGTAATGTGTATTGTTGGCATGTTTACATGCATTCACATGCTAGAACAAAACGGACTAATTTCAATGTGCAAATGCTACTGATCCTGGCATTTCTCCAGTAAGTGACAACTTCGTTTTCTTGAGGGATATCCAACTAGACATATGAGTCATCTCTATCGTCGTGGGTGGTCTTTACTAACTCCAGGTGAACAGAAAAAAAAAAAACGCATGTGAAAACTGATTTGGAGTAATTAAGCCCACAAGGTAGACTTAGTTACATTGATATAAGCAGAAAACGTAGACAGAAAATCTTGAACTTAACCGTGAAGACTTTTTTCGACCATATGTAAGATACTGAGAAGACATTTCTAAAATGTCACAGTGCGTAACACTCCTGATAATTGAGCTTACATATAAATATCCCTGCAGGTGTCTCCTTTGAGTACAGTGCAGTTATTTGGCAAAATCTCATGAAATCTCAACAAGATATTGCACAATAACAAAGGAAATAATGTGGATATAGTTGTACATACCATAAAAGCCACATGATAAAACCACATTCAACCTATTGCTTTCCTCATTGGGGTGAAATTCACCCTATGGGCAGTGGTCAGCACAATTCCTTAAGTCCCACTTAGTATGTCTACACTGCAATTAGACACCCAAGTCTGGCCCGTGCCAGCTGATTTGGGTTTGGGCTAAGGGGCAGTTTAATTGTGGTGTAGACGTAGGCTGGAGCCCAGGATTTAGGACCCTGAGAGATGGGAGGGTCCCAGAGCTTGGGCTGCAACTTGAGCCTGACCATTTACACTATAATGAAACAGCCCCTTAGCCCAGGTTGCGTGAGCCCAAGTCAGCTGGCACAGGCCAGACTCGGGTGTCTAATTGCAGTGTAGACAGACCCTTAGACCCCTCAAAATAAGACTTTGTGTTGGCCCTCTGGACAGGGATGAATGTCACCCTTTCAGATCATCATCCAAAGTAGGAGCAGAGTATACATGTTCTCCTCCTATTGCCACAAACACGCGGTCTCTGATTAAACCCTTCTGTTCTGAAACCATGACGCATATTTTTATCTTCTCAATGTAGCGGACAGAACACATGCCCAGCATCATAGCCACTTGCCTCACAACATACTGCCATTATAAAAATAACTAGCATTAAAAAACAAAGAGAGTTCTTTCCTTACAGTGTGTACATAGAATATATGACGGTGATGAGTGGAATAAAGTATTATTTTCTGTAGACAGTCTATCACAATTCACATGTAGCTCTGTGGCATTCTGCTCTTTCCGACTCTTACAGCTAGCCTCCCAAATAAACGAAAATAAAGATTATTTCACTCTTCACCACAGTATATTCTCTCTCTCTATATAAAGACTGTATATCTACTACAGTACACACAAAGACAAAATTAAAGGAAGACTATTGTCACCCTAACTGTTTATTACTTATTTCATAATTGCAGTGGTGTACTATAGATCAGGTAAATGCAGAACAACATAGGTAACAACAGGCTGAGGAAAGATTCCAGGCAGGTAAGGGTTGTGTTGGGATGTAACTGCAGTGCTTGTAAAATATACTCATTGTTACATGCTTGGACTGGATACTGTCCCACATTTACCCCTCTGTGGGGGGCTACCAATTCCACAAGCAGTCACTCTGAAGTTGCTGTTACATTCCTTGGATCAAAGTTACAAAGCAAGGATAACCCAGGTAAAATCCCATTAGGAAACATGGCACCGAGAGGGCATGCACGAAATATGACAGGAGGTGACTCATTTCATTCAGTTTAGTCACATACCTCTTTCCCCTGCCAGGATCATCCAAGATTGAATGAACAGTAGAAAAACAGGGAGGAAATTTAAATATGCAATCAGGCATTAGTTGGGACTCGTGGATGGTTGTGTTGTAGAAATAAGTTAGATTGTACTGTAAATTTAATATACATCAGAATGATTTTTTTTCGGTGATTGTGACATTATTTATCAAATTTATTTAATGCAATATATATATATATATATATATTTAAAAATGTGAAGGAGAAGAGAAAATAGTGAATGATTGTAACAATACTAAAGTTATAAACAAATAATGGTTAAATCTGAGTTTGAAAATGATCAGCTTAACGACAATTATCACAGAGTACTGGATTTGCAGAGAACTAAGGGCCTGATCCTGTATATTCTTACACACGTGTAACTTTACTCATGTGGGTAGTCCCACCGAGATGAAAATCTCATGACATCTCATCAATGAGGTTATATGCCTCAATGCAATTACTCACGTGTTTAAGTGGTCACAAGATCAAGACCTATGCTACTGAGGTTCTCATATATTTTGGATATTTTAGTGATTATGGATTCCCTGTTTAAAAGTCTTATTAAAACAAGAATCTTTCTGCTAGACGGCTTTGAAGAATAAAGCTATTTTTCATTTTGCTAAGTATTGGATAACCTATATATTCAGTAACAGAGGACAATTCATTTCAGCCACAGCACAACCAGGATACTCCAAACAGGCTGAGAAAGGCGTAGCTTACTGAAAAGTCACAGTGAGTAAAAGAAGATCATCATATCCAATGACACAAGTAAAAAAGAAACAAAAAAATTGTTAAAAGAATTTTATATAGAAAGAAACAGACCAAAAATAGCGTGAACATTTGTGGTGCTTTTTCTTTGCTACACAAATGGTGACAAGGGAATGCTGTTTGGATGGGGTTGAAACTGATTCATTTCATTATGCTTGGAAGTATAAACATGACTTTTTGGAAACCCATGACCCTTCTTGAAAGTGGACAGACTTTATATTGTGATTAGTCCGGTGGGTTGGCCAGATTCAGCTCTCACTGACGAGAGCAGAATCTGGCCAATTTTGCGTAACCTCTCCCCTCCTCTAAAAACTGACTTCCCCAAGTTTATTTTTTCTGCAATTATATTTTGACAGTTATTTAAGAAGACCAGGTGGCTTTACCAGTGATATGAAACCACATGGTGTGGTTCAACATTCAGCACAGCGAAATGGACAAAGCTCTCCAAAACCAACAAGATCCTGTCCAAAGTCATGCTAGAGCCCTGCTACTCACCTCTGCATGGTGTTCTTCATTCTGCTGTAGAACTTCAATTACCAGTTCTGCCAGACGTATTGTATCTTCTAGCTTTTTGGCAGGAGTGACTAACCGGCCTACATTTTCTGTAGTAGAAGAACTTGAGTTAAAATGGAGTGAAACACGAGAGGCTAGACGTATGGCCAATAGATTTAAGTGGAAAAAGTTCCATAATAGTTAATAACTCTAAAAATCTTTTCATGCAAGTGTTAAATGCTCTATAATTAGTACTGAGCAAACCGTAAAGCCACATTTGTTATTTGTACTATGAAAACACAGTGCTCCAGCTCTGAATTTCAAAATACTATATGAATTGTTTTACTTTCCATTTTGTGTTGGTGACACTTTATTAATTCAAATTAATAGAACAGCAAATTCCATAGAGACAGCATCTATCTATTAACAGAATGACAATATGTATCTTTCTGGTTAGACTGTGCTATTATATATTTGACGTACACATAATTTTTAGAGTTTTGTTTAAATGGAGCTTTTAAAAAAATAAGTTGTTGAATATAACAGTGATACATTAATTTCAATGATATACAATGGGTGCGCTTAAAAAGATTCTACTGTTCTGAAAGATTTTACCCATTTAAGAGATATTACTTATATATATAATGGGGAATAAAATAAAAAGAAATGTCAAACTTGTAGAAACTTTATACGTGGGCCCAACTATATAGAATAAAAATTGCAGGTCCAATTCACCACTGGTTACTCCTAGATATAACTACACCGAAAACAAGGGAGTTATGCTTGAGTAAAGTTGGAAGGACACGGTGGTAAATCAGACCATGTGTTTATAAGTACAGTTTTATGGGAAAACATATTCAACTTTAAAGCATAAAATCCCTTAAATAAATCACACATGAGTTCAAATACCGAAGGAAGGTGGAGAAAACGCAGAGCTATTTCATACTATCTTGCAGTATTCTCCAAACCTTCTAAAATGAAGTCAACCTAATGCTTATGTACATCTTATACTAATGCTTATGCATCAGTATATTAAATGTTATGTACAGTAGACAAACACCTTTCGGAATATTTCATTAGAAATCTGAATAAATAAATAAATATATAAACCCCACCACTCATTAATAATCCAGATATCAATGAAAAAGTCCAAGGAGCTGGGCAAAGGCAACAGTGGCTACGTCTGCACTAGCACTTCTGTTGGTAAAACTTTTGTCAGTCAGGGGTGTGAAAAACACACCCCTCTGACTGATATAAGTTTCACTGATAAAAGCACCGGTGTGGACAGCGCTCTCTTGCCGACATAGCTACCGCTGCTCGCTGCGATTAATTATGCCAATGGGAGAGCTCTCTCCCATCAGCATAGAAAGGCTACACGGGAGAGCTTACAGTGGCTGTGCCACTGGAAGGCCTGTAGTGTAGGCAGCCCATGAGATGGGTCCCTAAGAACAAAAACCAGTGGCTCACAGCTGTGAAAAACTGACTTAGGGCTTGTCTACATGGGAACACTCAGGAATGTTAACCCGAATTCACTAAACATGTGAATTTAAAGTGGATAAGTTAAACTGCATTAAATCCCTCTGCAGGCACCCTAAAGCCATGCCAGCACTAGCGGGGCAGAGCGATGGCACCGTAGCTATACTGCTGTAGTGCCATAGTGTGGATGCTTCCAACAGGGACAGAAGGGGTTTGCCATCACTGTAGGAACTCCATCTCCCTGAGCAACAATAGGTAGGGTGATGGAAGCACTCTGTGTCTACCTTGGGGGTTAGGCTGGTAGAGCTATAGTGTGCAGGGGTCTGAAACACAGCTGTAGTTATGTTGACCTAACTTTTAGGTGTAGACCAGGCCTTACAGAATTAAAGTGGTGTAAATGCAGTTTAACTAATCCCCAATTCAGCAAAGCACTTAATGGCCCATCCCAAGGCACTAGACTGGGATTTTCAAAGGAGCCAGAGGGAACCAGCTGAAATTCAACTGGAGCTGGCTGCCTATCTCCTTAAGATGCTGCAGAAAATTCTAGTCGTACCGGATTGACTTAAACACGAACTTAAAGTTAAGCAAAGATGTAAGTGCTTTGCTGAATCGGGGCCTGGAAGAATTATGGAAGCTGTTTTGGCCCCTCTGAAGTCTATGGGAGTTTTGATGTTGACTGTTAACAGGGCCAGGATTTCACCTGAAACTTTTTTTGAACACATCCCTATAGTTAAATGGTTTCTCATTAAAAACAATGGTCAAAATTTTCAATATCAGAAGCCTAAAATTAAGGACCTAAGTCCACAGTTAGGCATCTATGTCGGTGCCTTGAGTTTTAAAAAAGTGATGAGCATCTAAACCTAAAATCAATGGGAGCAATAGATGTTCGGTTCCTTTAAAAATCAGATCATTTCTATTTATGTGGCACCAAGGGCCCCAATCCTGTGAAGTAGTTTTTGTGCAGATGTTCTGATGGGTTGGGCACTAAATATGGACTTTAGGGTCATCCCCTGCTAGGGTGATCAGATGTCCAATTTTATAGGGACAGTCCCGATATTTGGGGCTTTGTCTATTACCCCCTACCCCGTCCCAATTTTTCACACTTGCTGTCTGGTCACCCTATCCCCTGCCCCAGTTTGAAAAGTGTTCCCCATGTTTCCTTTCACATATTTTCTCAAGGCAAATACTGAATGGAGAGCTAATTATTAACTTGTCATTCTTTCTTTTATCCATGCAAATGCCTCAGCAGAGACAGCGTTTTTCTTTTGTGCAATAACAGGTCACAAAAACCTTCCAAAATACATGGGTGCTTTCCCCACAGCACTGAAGTCAATGGGAGCTTTGACATTGACTGCAACACAAGCAGTATAAATCCTGGTATGGTTTGTTCTTTCATTCGTGGCAGTGATCTGCTCTCAAACACAACTAAAAGACAAAAGTGTTAATAAGAACAACTGCTCAGAGATGCTGTCTTTAAAGAAAATATTTTGCTTTATCAACTTTGGCAGCCAACAGATGTCAATCTTTTTTTTTTTTTTTTCTTATTTTAAATATTTCCCTGGGTAAGTTACTATACATCAGAATATTCTGTTGAGATAGCTGGAGCACTGACAGTTAAATGAAACGTATACCATATACTTATCAAACATTTCATACAACATCGTTTAAAGCTCATACATATTCATCGTTATCATGCAAAATGTTATGCAACAACAATGTTATTTTGTGCTGACGTTGATATTTGAAAATGTTGCATATGTCAGACATTGCTAGACAGAAAATGTGGACATTCTGAAATAAGTACTACTATTTCTACGTCTCTAAAAGCCTACTTGGTTGTGCTAGATAGTTTAAAAAATCCTTACAGTAGAACTAGCTTCCTAATATTAAACTAAACTAAAACAACGAAAAAACACTAAACTAGAAGACGGTTGAATAAAAAAAAGGAAAAACGGTGACAGTACTTGGTGTTTGTCTAGGTATGCCTTTGAGCATCTGATTGATCATGTTAGGCTGAGTTTGAATGGATGGTGATGGCCCAGCCGGTGGCTTACGTTTAGGCTTAGCTGGACGAGCTGTTTGTCAGTGATGGAGAGAGACACACCAAAAGTAAAGAGACATACGACGTCATAAACAGTGACTAAAAGATGTAAACTTTGAAAGAAAAGCAAGCAGAAATGATAAAACACAAATGGAATAAGCTCCTTATCGTTACTTGAAGTATTACACAATTATAACACCATTTGACAACAAACATTTTAGAAGTCACCAGATTCTATGATGTTACAGTGCTTTGCAATCAAGATGCTTAAAATTCAGTGGTATGCTAATTGTATTTCATGTAGCCAAGTGCAAAAAGGAGGAGTTTAGTATGATAATTTAAAACTTACAGGTGTGTGTGAGAAATCTGAAATAATATTGCCTGGTTTTTGCACCCTATAATGGTAAGAAAGGTTCCCTATTGAAGGTGCCCCAATGACTATTGTGAGGTTTAATAGCGAAACAATGAACATAGGAATTAATTGCTTTGCAAAGACCAATTACAGATTTCAGACTTAAACACCACTGTTGGTGAAAAGGAGCTATAAAATATTCTTGCATTCTTCGTGCAATTTAAACATGTAAAAAAATCTGTCACTTTAAAAAATGTGTGGTTTCTGATTGTTTCCAGCTCATTTAATTATTTTCAACTTGGAATTCTAGTGGCTTTTATATTCTGGGTTGAATCATATATAAAACTTGCCAGCTCTATCAAATATGTTACTTGCTATTCCAAATGTTAGAATACTGCAATCAGGACTTGACCCATCTGTCATATAGTTTACAATATCAGCATAGCAAAAATTCTATGAAAATAGCCTTTCCTTCTGCATACACATAGACAAATCATATATCATGAATATACTGGTGCTATAGTTACCGTTATATTTAATAACACATTTTTAATAGCCCAAGTACTGTATTGTGACTATTTTAATTATTTTGTTTGTAAGGAATCTGGCATATTTATCTGGACATTCTGTTGCCAAAAGTTCTTTCCATTTTGCTTGCATTTTCCAAGGGAGGGGGTAAATTAATTTGGCTGCTGGTTTACACAAAGTGGATTTGTGGTTGCTTTTAATTCTGACAGTGTTATAGAAATTACCAGGGTATAGACAAATATATTCTCATAAACCATCCATTAAAGAGTAAAAGTTTCAGACACACATGCCCTGCATTCCTTTAAGATGTTAAATGATTTAATGTAGAGCCTTGGCTTAAAAACATTATTTTTTTCTGCTAGCAGTTGAAACAAATCTATTCAATCAACTCCAGAAACAACTTGATCCTTATTTGCCATCTACCAGAAGGGCCCCTTTCTCAAAAATGTTCCGTACACCCCCCCACCTAATGAAAATTATATGCCTTTAGGGAATGATACTACAGATTTTCATTCGGATTCAACGTTTCAAGAGGAAGTCAACTCAGCTACATACTGATGGCCCTTAAATTCAGCTCACATATTTAAAGAGACTATTTCACAGCAAAACATTACAAAAGGAAGTTTGCATAAGGATCCCAGGATGGGAGGTAATTCTAATAGACAGCTACTATACCTTGGCTCCCAGATGCATCCATTAGCCATGTTACGGTA